TTTTTTTTTAAGTGGATACTTTGGATGCATTATTATCAGCTGGGTCTGATTGTGAATTTGTTGCAATTTTACATCTTAAATACTCAGTACATTTGAAAAATGGTACAGTATTTTAATCCTGAATATTACTTGATTCAGAATATGAAGGTAGTACTTCTTAGGGTGCACTGGGTGCACTTTACATCTTTAAGTGTTTTTAAAATGCCTTATGTTTACAGACTTCCTGTTTGATGAAGATAGCATATGGAAAACTCAAAATGGTGGCAGTTCTTATTATCAGATATTGATATTGTTTGTGAAAACTGCTTACCAAAACAACGTCTATCAACTGTGGAACACTTGCTTTATGTCTGTGTGTACATATTTTCCACAGATGTCATAATTTATAGTGTGGTTGAACAGTATGCAATCTTTTGCTGTCTAAAGGTGCTGCAGTAAAAAAAAAAAAAACCCAAAAAACTTGTCTTTAATATGGTACTTAATTTTTTTTTTGCATTTTACTTTAAAAACATTTGAAAATTGTTAAAATTAATGTGATGATATCCAGTAGTTTATAAAAGAGGAATTATCAACTTGAATTTTTCCCTTGAGATCAGAACTGACATTTAATTTTCATCATGTTCAAGTGTCCCACCATACTTATTTACTTTAGCATATTTTTTTTGCAGAATGTAAAAGAAAGGTAATGATAATTAGTTTATATATAAGTGGCCTAGCTGTAAATGATGCTAAATATTATATTTTATGCAATTAAGGGCTTAAAGATCATGTTAAAATTTTTTTACTTTTATTGATAATAAGGAATGTTTGTGCCTCCATAATTATATTGCTTCTGGATGTGAAGTCATGTAATTATTTCTGCTATTATATTAAGTGCCATAACTTTAATAAAGCAAAATGTACATATGAAGTCATTGTTACTGGTATTTCCTGAGAAATTGTTCATTGGAAGTCAAGCTTATTATCTTCCTATATTAAGTTTTGATGTGCATATGTGTGTGTTTATTGGAAATACTAGGTTAGAATTTTCTTACATATTTTTATGCTGGAATTTTAGTAGGTTTCTTTTTTCATGATTGATTCACTAAAGTGCTTGGTATGTAGTAAGTTTATTAGGTGCTCATTGGTTAAGAGTTTTTTTATTTCACTTTTTCAGGGAGTAAGCTTAGTTGATGTATATGGTGTATAAATGCATTTGGAAATAGGTACATTAAATATGTTCTTCCTGTAGTTAAGAGAACGAATTGGTATTTCCCTTGCCTCAGGAGACAGTTGCATGTCTGGGGCTAATTCACACATGAT